TACAAATCCCAGCAATACATTATACACTGTATGTATAATGTATTGCTGGGATTTGTTGTACTCCTCTATAGCTGGTGATATTCTGCATTGCGCTGTATAGAGGCCTACAACTCCCAGCAATAATACATTGTACAGCGCAATGCAGAATACCACCAGCTGCAGAAGAGTACAACAAATCCCAGCAATAATACATTATAAAGTGGTACAATGCTAAATACCACCAGCTATAGAGGACTACAAAACCCAACAATAGTACATTATACAGCGCAATGCAGAATGCCGCCAGCTATTATGTACTATTGCTGGGATTTGTTGTATTCCTCTATAGCTGGCGGTATTCTGCATTGTGCTGTATAATGTACTATTGCTGGGATTTGTAGTCCTCTATAGCCGGTGCCATTCTGCATTCATTGCTGTATAATTTTAAACTTTCCATTTCACTATATTGCACACCACACTATCTTTTTTTTCTTTTTTACTTCCACCGGTCCAAGCTTACTCCTGTGATGGACTGCAACCTCAATACAAACTAGTAGTCCTATCACTGGAGCCATTTTTTAAACTTTATTCTATAGTTTATCCGATTAATCGAACCTAATAATCGGCTAACTAATCGATTTTGAAAATAATCGTTAGCTGCAGCTCTACTTTACACTTGTTTTGTTGTCGTCTTGTGTTTTTAGGTGTCTGCTGAGGAAGTTGAAGAAGCGATAATTCGATACCAGCAGGAAAAGGAGCAGAGGCTGATCCGCTTCCAGGGGGAAGTAAAGCGAAGGGTTAATCAGAACGCCAAACAGCAGAAGCGACACCAGCTGCAGAAATCCTACGATGCTGTAAGTGACATGTCCTGGTCACCTTTATCCTGGTCTCTGCCCCACCCCCTCCCTTCTGATATCACTGCACGCTGGGAGCTTCTCGCAATGTGCATTAGAAGCTGCAGCAAGTCACATAGAGCTCCGCCTCATTTCCTGGCTGGAGGACGTCCAGCAGCATCTAGGGCTTTCCTCCCCAGCCTGACTGTCCCTGGTCCCGCCCCTTTCATTCATTGGATTTATGATCTGTCAATCATGGAGGTTTAGTACTGCATTTGGGCATTTCCCATGCAAGTGAAGGGATGACCACTCCTCCAGACTGACACCCACCCATCAAGGCGTTTTGATATTTGCATAACTCCTCCCAAAAGCCAGCTCACTGCTTGCGTCAGGGCTGAGGGCTCTTGAGTGGAGTGCTGAGGCAGGGTGCTGTACAGCACTCTGCCGGCTCCTCCCACCAGCTGTGATCTGCCTGCATTGTACAGAACCAGCGATGACATCACCGGGACTAAAATAAGGTATGAAATGAAAATAGGTTTTATTTAAAATGTGAAATCCATGCTCAATGCAGAGCAAGGATTAAGGTGGAACAGGAGAGTTACTATAGCAGAGAAGTTATATGGCACCGCACGGGTTTTGTCAAACAAGTATTAAGTGCATAACGAAAATTTTTACTATGCACATGGATGGAGGAGACATTGCAGGAATAGACGGGATTGTAGGGTTGGTTTGCAGGTCAGGCATGATGTGCCAAAACCTGTGTGACCTGTGACTGCAGACACCATTCCAGGAGCAGTCTTTCGGTGTTCCCCCTATAGCCAGGCTTGCTATACATTGTATATGGAGTTGCAGCTGTTGTGTCTTAGAAGAATGGTATGACTGCAACTCTGCAAGAGTATCAAACTGGAATATACAGGATCCCACCCTGCCTCCTGGGGGGCCCAGTCATGGCGTATCTGGCCAGTGTATGTGTCACAGTACTCGCAGATTTCTCACCAAGGACAAGGGATGACGAGAATTCTCCCCAGACGCAGTGTACCTTGTGACTCGGCTGAGGTTATATGATCACCATTTCCTTCCCTTTTTAGTGACACTCATTTGCACAGTGATTTTCCAACAGATGGATAGCAAGCACATCATGTAATCACTTCTTTTTTCCCCCCCCCCTAAGAAAATTCCTGCACAATCCAATTCTCACAGTGACTCTAAACTCAGGACTAAAAATCCATTCAAGTCCCCAAACTCTGAACAACAATGTATCTTATTTGTGTATCACTCGGCTGTAGATCCTCCAATCATCTCTGACACTGTCCTTCCTTCTGGAGGGGGGTTACGTCTGTTCCCCATGGTCCCTGTGTGTTTTGTAAAGTAGTCACCGCTCCATGCTCGCTCCCGGGATGGACTACAATCTCACGTTTAGTTTACTAATTTGTATTGAGATTGTAGTCCATCCCGGGAGCGAGCATGGAGCGGTGAGTCCTTTACAACATACTTTACTGACCATCTTCTGTTGCGTGACTGCCATCTCTGACCATCTCTTGTAGCTAGCCTGTAATGTTTGGCCATCTCATGTTGCTTGTCTGCGCTCTATTACATTCACTGAATATTATGTGTGGCCCCTTTAGGGATGTCAGGGGCCACATTTGAGGCCCTCATTTAAAGAAAGTTGACCACCTCGCTCTAGATGTAAGAATAACTTAATAGAGTGTGGAACCTCTGATGCCATATTTTTATGATGAATTTCTGACTCATTTTCTGTCTCCGGTTCCTTTGATCAGTTGGCACGTGAAGGTCTCGTCGTCAAGCAGTCTTCAGACGCTGCCATGCCCTTCACTCCGAAGAGAAACACCTGTACTTACCGTAATACACAGGTGGCCATTGGCAGTCCTCGCGTTCGTTGCGTCTCAGCACAGAAGATAGGAGGCGATGAGGAGGAAGCGGATGAAAATGGAAACCGTTTATTTAAAGAGCATTCCAAAACTGTGAGTAGCGTCCCATCGTACTGAGAAATCACATCGTGTATCACAACTGACGTGTGGTTTAAAGCAGGAGTGGGCAACCTCGGCTCTCCGGCTGTGCTGAAACTACAAGTCCCATTATGCATCTATATCTGGGAGTCCTACGGCTGTCAGTCTTGCAATGCCTTTATGGGACTTGTAGTTCCACAACAGCTGGAATGCAGAGGTTGCCTACCCCGGCTTTAATGACTTCGACAAAGCTGCTGGAAGCTTTGCAAATATATATAAAAGTCTGCTGTACACATTGCTCTTTCACAAAGTGAAGCTCATATGTACAAGGCCTTAAGAAAATGTTTTGGTTTTTTTTTTTTTTTTTTTTTTTTATTACCAGTGCGTTATCACCCTTGTGTTGTGCCATTCCAGATCAGCCTACAGCGGGCTGCTGTGATGTCACAGAGGGTGTGGCTGGAATTGTGGCTTGCCCTCACTTGTCAATCAACATGTAGGACACACCCCACTCTTTACTCCCAGGACATGCCTATATTCCACCTGTAAATGGGTAAAGGAGAACTATTGGCAGAGTAAAATGTACTCTTCCCTATAGTTTGAGATGGCATGGGACACATCAGCTGTCAAAAGCCGGCTCTATAGATTAAGAACTTAGCAGTCACAAACAGCCGATCGCTCAGCTTACGACGTCTCCCTGCAGAGTGTGCGGTGACTGTCATTTACCGTTCCCCCGCAGGGATTCCTTCCCTCTTTTTGTTCCTCCAGCCCTCATTGGAGGGATAGGAGACGATGAAGAGGAAGCAGATAAGAATGGAAACCGTTTATTTAAAGAGCATTCCAAAACTGTGAGTACCGTCCCATCGTGTTTCACAACTGACGTTTGGTTTAAAGCAGCGGTGGGCAACCTCGGTGCTCCAGCTGTGCTGAAACTACAAGTCCTCCCTCCCCTCTTTTTATTTCTCCAGCCCTCATTGGAGGGACAGCCAAGGGTGGGCCCTAGCTCTAGTGAAGCAGAGCCAGCTGTCAATCAGGCAGTGGGTAGATCCTGAAATTATTGTCATTCTCTTTCCCGGCTGCACCATGGCTCTGCACTGTCAGCATATAGTTGCAAATATGCCTTATATATGCTGACTTTGGTTCACAGGAGGACATAAGTAAATGTCCTCCTGTGACCCAAAATAAAACTAAATCCAAAAAAGGTTTGGCTATTTGTAAGTGTAATTTGCGTATGACACGCCCAGTTGTCTAGGCTGATCCCAAAACAGGCCCCTTTAAGCAGGCATGGTGATCGGAATCATGGGAAATGTAGTTCCTTATGGGAGTCGCTTATAAGCAATGATGTGCTAGCTCTGCTCAGCAGCAGTATTGGGATCCTGAAGCGAGGACACGGAAGGGGGATGAGAGAACACAATTCTGGGTTCTTGCTGAGATGAGAATCAATTTCACGATTAGAATAATTTATATGCGGAACGTTTCTGGGGATTTATGGCACTTAAAGTGACATTAAACCCTCAGATTTTTTAACATAAACCAATACTGTAATGTGCGCCTTACTGTAATCCATGGTTGTTTCCCTTCTCTTTGCTGCTCTTCCTTTTTAAATCCTCATCTCTTCTCATGCTTGGGGAGAACTTCCCTTTGCAGCTGAGTGCCTTTTCCTGTAGTGCTGGCTCAGGTTGTGAACCTACACACAGACACCATGTATCCATACCAGAGACAAGGCAGAAGTTCTGCCCAGCATGAGAACAGATACAGATTTAAAAGGAAGAGCAGCAAAGAGAAGGCAAACTACCATGGATTACAGTAAGGCGCATATTACATTCATGTTTTTTTATGTTAAAAAATCTGAGGGTTTGATGTCACTTTAATTAAAAGCAATGATGAAGCCTTTCTGTTAATGAATATCATATAAATGGTTAAAAACAAATGTAACACTTTAAATGCTTTATTTATATTCACTTTTATCATCTTGAGGAAATGTTGTCCTCACCTGTTCATGTCTCCGTAGAATGTCCTTGGCACGAGGAAACGGCGTTGGGTCTGCTGCAGGGCATGATGGCACTTATCATGATTTTCCCTTTTTCTGTTTCACTGACAGCTGAAGGAAACAATGAGACAAGTTCGCAAGCGCCTGGCAGCTCTGAAAACTGTGGAGAGTGAAGAGTTAACTCTGCCCGGCGGCCTATGGAAGGTCTCCCCCACCAGAGACGTGAGTGCGGAGCTTCCCTTTACTACATTTTACTGTACACCATTCCAAAGGGCAGAGCGGATCCCCCCTCCCAGCATCAGCCAGGGTGCAATACTAATCCCAAACTTCCCTTTTATGACACCTTGTATCCGCTGGAGATCCCGATTTAATACATTTTTACTCTCATAATTGTGCGTTGCAAAACTGGTGCTGGCTTCCCAATCTGTAATCAAATATTTCAGCAGCTTCATCGTAAGGATGAGGATTGTGTTAAATGATACAAAGTGTCATTATAGGCACGCAGAAAGGATCGGATGACGATCCAGAATGCACTAAAACCTTTATTTCCTAGCTGGAGGACATCCACATCTAGCCCTTTCCTCCCCAGTCTGACTGTCCCTGGCCCGCCCTTTGCATTCGTTGCATTTACACCCTTTTATGTCATGAATGCTCACCATCACATGTGGGTGTTACCTAGGGTGGTCTGTATGCAAATTCAGCCACCTAATAACATCCACTCTTCATACACCCATCAAGGTGGCTTGATATTTGCATAACTCCTCGCAAGCAGTGGGCGGACTCTTGGATCAGGGCTGAGGGCGCTTGAGAGGAGTACTGAGACAGGGTCTGTAATGTTCTAGGAAACCTATGCTGACACAGCAAAGCCGTGCGGCAGCCAGGAAAGTTCCTAACAATATTGTCGGGATCCACTCCGCTGCCTGATTGACAGCTGGCTCTATCTCTCTAGAGCCAGCCCCGTCCTTTGTCTATTCCTCCAATAAGCACTGGAGGAACAGAGAGAGGGGAGGGGGAATCCCTGCAGGGAGCAGTGACTGACAGTCACCTCTCTCTGCAGTTAGAAGCCGTGAGCTGAGCGATCAGCGGTATGTAATTGCTCAGTTCTCGAGCTATTGTAGATTTTACTCTCCTGATAGTTTTCCTCTCAGGGAAGTTTAAAGGATGTTTCCCATTTTAACCAATCAGATTGAAGCTTTTTGTGCAGATTTGGCCGGGATCTGCTCATGTTGTTATGGGTAAAGTGAATGACTTGCTCTGAATTGCAAGTATACACAAGACTGAAGTGTGTGTGTGTGTGTGTGTGTGTGTGTTGTGACCGCAAACTAATAAGTGAATGTTTGTTTCTGTAGAATCCTTTCTCCCGGAGATCTCCCGTTCTGTATCAGCCACGGACCGAGGAAGAGCGGCCTCTTCTCAGAGGGTTTCATGACCTGCCAGTGGAGCTTTTGGTTCCAGGGCCCGAAGGACAGACTGAGAGCAGGATGGGGGCTGGGAAGCCGGTGAGTTCAATATGCATCATATTATAACAGGAAATGCTCTGTCATTATCTATCATTGGTAAAGTGGTTTGTTTGTTTTTTAACCACTGTCTGGAAGGATTGTGGGTGATGTATACAGTATGTATCGCCTAGGTTTACACTAAGGATGCACCGATACCGATATTGAGTATAAGTACCGATATTTATTTTTGGTACTCACTGATCTCGAATACGGATACAGAAAGTCCTATTAAGGAAGCCAGGAGTTGTGTAATGTCTCGCCACCCAGATTAGCAGGGAAGCCATCTCCATGCTTTTCGGCACTACGTGACGAGAAAGCATGGAGTCAGCTTTCTGGCCAATCAGGAAGCCGGGCGCCGTGTAATGACACGCTGCCCAGCTTCCTGATACAGGAAGTATCTGGCTAGCCATCGGAGCATTTGGGCAAGTACGAGTACTCGCCCAAATACTCGGCATCGGCACCGATACTAGTATCAGTATCCGTGCATCCCTAGTTTATGCATACACATGCCTACTGTAGTCACATGTTGTTTTCTCAGAACCTCAGAGAGCCGTGACAGGATCGAGAGGTGAGCTCACCTCCTGATCTACTGAGCCGACCTGTGACAGTCTCATTGTCACAGGTCGGCTAGAACTATGAGGTGAGTGAAAAGCACCCCCCCTCATAGTTCTCTTTTAAGTTCTGTTCTGGGTCCCAGAGCCCGGAGGCTTTGTACATCTGTGACTGGTATAAAGCCTCCAGTCCTAAGTGCACATCACGGCGGTCCCCAGGCCTTTATATCTATCTATCATAGATAGATAATCTCTATGTGAGCTGAATAATGCTCGGGGCGCTCTCTCTCTCCTGTCTGCTGCTGGGTGAAAAGGGTGAGTGTGCTGCCTGATTGTTTTGGAGAACCTTTTTAAGGGGCACCCTGTAAGTCAGGCGATGACCTTTTTTATCAGTATAGTTAGTGGCTCAGACAATGTTTTGTTTGTTTTTATTCTATAGACTTGCTGTACAAAGCCCTATTGCCTTGAGCTGTGTTTACTGCCTTGCGCTCTGCTTACTGCCTTGCTGAATAAAAGTGTAGGATGAACCTGCTTGGACTGCTCCTGGGTGTCTCTGTCTCATGTATGCTTTACTGCCATCAATACCAGTT